TTAAATATAATATATAATATAAATATATTTCAGATGTAATAATGTTCATTTATACAACTAATACAACTTAATTAATTGACATATTTATAAAAACAATAAGAGTTCATTTATTATGATAATATTTTGGTTGATTTGTTGTCATTTTACAATCATTATATGATATAAAATAACATTTAAGGATAATATGGTCATTTTAATAGTTTTGTCTCGTCCTGTCCTAGTCGTACCAAACATAGGACAGACAATTAGTCTTGTCTCGTCCCGTTGTCCTGTCCCGTACCGTCCCGTCCTGTCTCATCCCGTCTGCGTACCAAACACTACCTTAATGAACAATTAAAATTGAGTTATATTAATTATACAAATATAAAAGATTGTATAATAACTTACCTTTATATAATAATATATATATATATATATATATATATATATATTAGAGAGAGAAGGTGGTGGTGGTGGAGATTGGTATATGTAAAGAGATTGGTGAGGTGTATAATATCCCTGGTTCTTTCACCAAATTCATCTTCTCCGATCCGATATGGGCAACTGTCAGGCCGTTGATAACGCAAGTCTTGTTCTACAAACCCAAAATGGGAGAGCTCAGAGATTCTATTCGCCCATCTCCGCCGCACAAATCATGAAGCTCCACCCTGGTCACTACGTCGCCCTCCTCCTTACCACCACCTTCTACTCCTCCTCCGACCACCATCAACATCCCAACACCACCTCCTCCGACCACCATCAACATCCCAACCTAATTAACCCTACCACCACCACCACCACCCAACAACCTCTTCGCGTTACTCGCATCAAACTTCTACGACCCACCGACAATCTTGTCCTTGGCCATGCTTACAGACTCATCACCACTCAAGGTTACTTTTCTTTTCTTGTTTAATCTATGGAGATTTACACGTCAATTTATATCTAATACCCCTTTTTTGGTTTTTGCAGAGGTGATGAAAGGATTAAAGGCCAAGAAAAACGGAAAATTGATTGATAATAATAATACGAGTTCTCAGCCGCCGGAGTCTCTCGGAGTAAGTGAAGCTAATTCAGATTGTAAAGCGGCAGCCTCAAGATCTCATCAATCTGGGAAAACCCACCACCAGGTCTGAATCCTTTTCTATTGATTCATCTATTTCTAGAAAGACAAAAAAAATTCATGCGATCAACTGGGTAATATGCAGATGAAGAAACCTGATAAACATCGTCCGCGGACGGCAGTTCCGGCGAAGTCGGCAGCCGCCGGAAGCAAACCAAGAAGCTGGCATCCATCGTTAAACAGTATCTCAGAGGCAACAAACTAGCTAGCTTTGTTCATATATCGACCCTTAATTTTAATTAATTATTAATTTTTTTTTTAGAATTTTTTGTGGAAAGATGGAGATTGCATTGTCGCATGAAGAATTATGCAATTTCTTGAAGAATGAGATAATGATTTTGTGATCTTTCAAGAAATGCTTTCTTTTCAAGAATTATGGTTTTTTTTTTTACCAAAATACTAAAATATATATGATGCATTAATAAAATAGTTATTTTTTTAAGTTTTTTACAAAATAACCATATGGATCGTTCCCGAGAGACATGTTGACTATAGGGGGCGATCCAAGCTTCTTTGACCAAAAAAAGTACATAAAAAAATCTTTTAAATTGATTTGGGGGCTTATATATATCTGATTTGGGAGACTAAACATTTGATTTTTCTTAAATAGGGGGATCGCACCTAGGGGTGCTCATAGGTTGGATTGATTGGGTTGAAGACATTTGAACAACTCAACCCAATGCTTGCGGTTTAAAAAATCTTAACCCAACTCAAGCCAAACTATATGGGTTGGTCGAGTTGATACTTTGGTACATTAAAATATTCTTCTAACTTTGAATATGTGATTTCTCTACTCATAATTTTTTTTCATCATCAACGATACAACTTATTCATACTCCTTACGTATATAACATTCAGTTAATTTTTTCAATTTACATACATATGTTCACAGTTACTGAACTACGAATGAGTTATATAAAGATGTGAATAGATTGAAAATATATGTATATGAAGAGCATAGATGATAATGTAATTGTCTAATGTATATATTAACATAAATTTAATAATTCTATTAAATCCAAAAAATAAAATGATATCGGGTTGGGTTGAGTTCAAATAATAGTAACTCGATATCAACCCAATACATACGGTTTAACAATTTTACAACTTGATTAGACATCGAGTTGCTTCAGGTTAAGTTATTTCGTATTAGTTTGGGTTGATCTAATTAATCGGTTTTTTGAACACTTCTAATCACACCCACCTACCTCATGATCTTCCCCGGGGCTATTTTATTAGGTATATTTTGATGGAAAAATCTTGTAATTATTACTTCTCTTGTCTTGTTTCCATGTTTTTCAATTGATTTTTGCAATGAAAAATAATAACAAAGTAAAATAAAAAATTATAATGGAAATATTCTTTAATGATATTAAAATATTGGTTTTTTAAAACAATATATCGTATTTAAATAAATAATTAAAAAAAAACATATTGCGACAAAATATATATTTATTCCAATTTTATTTATTTTGATAAAGGAGAGCAATTATTATTTTTGGAAATATTATTGAATAGTTGGAAGAATATTTTCTGTCCTACTGTTTTTATTTCAAGATTTTGATTATAAATTGAATTAATCATATCTTTTTCTTCATTTTGAATTATTATATGATATATAAAAATTGGTAAAAAAAAAATCCTTTTTTAACCACAGGTATTTACATCATCTTCAATGCATCTCGACTAATCCTAGAATGATTTAGGGTCTGTTTTTCAAACGTTTACTCGGATAAGTGAACATCAAGTCATTTTACCTTACCGGATGAATATGATAAGGATCAAGAATCTTATCCGGTAAAAGCGAGACAAGGACCAAAAGTCTTACCCGGTAAGTGATGACGACGACTCTTACTACGGTAAGCGCTTACCGGGTAAATTGTTGCATACTATATTGTTTTGGTGGACTAGATACTTATCCAATAAGCGATTACAAGGTAAGTGTTTGGTAAACGGCCCCTTAGAGAACAATGAAAAATATGCACTGGCTTTACAGGACTTTAAATAGTCCAATGAGACTGAAAAACTGGAAATCTGACAAACCTCCGATTACTTTTAATGATCCAAAAAAAGTTCAAACCAACGACTAACTCGACGCTTCAATCTTATTGGTTTGTAGTTTCATTTGTTGTTGTTGGCCATGTGACACTGATTATATTTATAGTTTCAGTTGTAATTTCAGCCATGATTGAATATGTTTTATATAATTTGTATTTATCTTTTTTTTTAATTTGGCAAATTGCCTTTAAACATGTAATCTTATCATACTCGGAAAATTATGCTTTAATATATACGTTTAAAAGTCATTTTTGCTTAAAGATGAATATAATTTAACTATTGGCCTTCAAATGTGTATCTATATATGTCTTTATAACAAAAAGTGAATGAAAATATATTTAGGCGGCGTTTGTTTTTTAAGAGGTAATTAAGTTTAAAGTCTTATTTCACTTTTGATTTATAAGAGATTGTGTTGAAGTCTGAAAGTCACATATATTATAGTAAATTAAGATCATATATTTAAATTAGAAAGTCACATAATTATAGTAAATTGAGTTCTATTATAATCCAAGTGGAACGATTGAGAGAAAATGATCTATTAAGTAAGGTTAATCTATTGAAAAGAATAAGAGGCAAATAAGGAGTTGGTTAACTTGTTACCAGATAAGAGGACGATAGTACATAAGTGGTTCTGAAAATTTGGAAAAAATAAATAGTAGAAATGATCTTGCCTCTTACCGAATCAGATATAAGAAGCTGATAAAAATTCTTTAAAAAAGCAAGGCCTTAAAAGAATAGATCAACAAATCAAGATTGACAATAAATCATTGTTATGAACAAAACTAAAAAAATGCTTCAATTTTATGAATATCATAAAATGTTATAAGATTAACAAGTTGTATCAGTTAAAACCAAGGTTTTAAATGACACGAGGCGTGGTGTGGCGTGGCGTGGCGTGGCGACGAGATCAAGCCTCAAGCTTTAAGTGTTACTGCAAGACCTGGCGTTTTTCAAGGTGTGCCATAAGGCGGCACACACACATGTATATATAGATGTACACACACGCCCCCACCCATCTTTGTATGTGTTAGTGTTTCGAATAATACTCTCGAACAAATTAAATTTACATAAAAGTAATAAAATTAAAAAGAAAGAACCATCCGTCGATAACATATATATATATATATATATAGAGAGAGAGAGAGAGAGAAAGAGGAGCGTTCAAATAAAAACTTGCCCCATTTGTGTAAACCGTGTAAACCAATCTCATCCATTCATTTTCTTGATCAATGTCTAAGATTAGTTTACTTTATTTTAGGAAATTAAAAATTAAAAAATAATAAATATTTATTTTATTTCAATACTAAGGGCAAAATTGGTAAACAAAGTTAACATTTTGTAACTCCTTTCCAGATTCATTTAATAACAAAAAAAAAATCAATTTTTAATATTATAATATATTAAAATCTTTAAATCTTTCCATTCATATAATTTCCATTAATAAATTTCCTTATTTAATATTCCTTAATAACTTCCTTATTTATCAAAAAAATAATGAAAATGACCGAAATATCCTTATTGATTAAATTTAATTAAAAAAGAATGGAATTTTTCTATTGATCGATTTTGGTTTACATGATTTTTTAGAATGACATGGTTTTCATTTGAACCTGCCCTCTCTCTCTCTCTCTCACTCTCTCTCTCTCTCTCTCTCTATATATATATATATATATATATATATGTGTGATAGAAGATGATATATAGTGTTTAAAGGAAGAGGAGCGCATGGGTAGGGTTAGGGTGTGTGTGCAAAGAATACTGCAATTATGACTAACCTTCTAATCATAAATATTCCTTCTTTCCTCCCCTAGATTTTGGTATATATATAATATCATGTGTTCAAAGAATATTGCAATTATGACCAACGTTCTAATCATAAGTATTCCTTCTTTCACCACATTCCTCTCCTAGATTTTGGTATATATATACCTATATCTATATTATAGGGGTGGGCTAATGGCACCTCTAGCCATTGCCAATGGCACCCCTACTTAGGTTTCAAATTATTAGTTTTATGATTTTTTGTGTTTTTTTT